AAAAAAAAAAAAAGAAAAGGGGGGCCGAGGCTCTGTTAGGCACACAGCTGCCACCCATGTTTATTGAGCTCCTTATAAAGTTATCTAATAGAGGTTAAAAATAGCAAAAAGAAGCGAAACAAGGCAAGATGTTAAAACTACCATTAAAAACTCCAAATCAGCACAAAACTGCTGCTGAGCACAAGCACAGTTAAAAAAGGCATTTTTACTTCAGCCTTAACCACAAAAGCTCCAGGATGTCTGTTCCTGTTTGCCCATTTCCTTTAAGCTATAACTGACTACTGTTGTGTTAAGTGTGGGGAGGTACAGGGTACAGCAGCCCACTGCCTCAGTAAGCGTTATCTCCAGCTATAACCTGGCGAAACCCACCAGCTATCTTATCTGTAAACATGTGACTGTCCGCTTTTAGGCAGACCTAGGCGTATTCCCAGAATAAGAAGCTTAGAGTCACATCCCTCAGGGAGCACTTGAGAATAAAATACCATGCTTAGGCCTTTGGGGGGCTGTACCCCTTCAGTGGGCACCTGTAGTCCCAGCTACTTGGGAGGGTAAGGCAAGAAAATCGCTTAAGCCCAAGAGTAGAACAGCTCATGTGAATATAGGTCCCCAGCTCTTCCCCCTACACCACGGGGATGGGCACAGCAAACGGAAAGTTCTGTGTTATGCTCCTTGTTGTTCTGACAAGAAGTGGACAATATTCCAGATGCAATACTTCTGTGATAGGTAAGAATTCTCCTTGGCACACAGCCCCTCAATCTCATCAGCTGTGCAGCTCAATGTGGGGAAGGAGAGAGTGGACCCCACTCCCACTTACAGGGACAGGATAAGGGGACAGCACACAATTTGGGGGAAAGAGTGTTACAAAACTCAGTAATCAAGGTAGGTCAATTTTGACCAAATAGTTGTAAAAATGAAAATTAATGCCTAATTCATGATCAGTGAAAGTTATAATTTTAAGTCAAGGATGGGTCAATCCCACTTTGCATGTTTCACTTCACGGGCTAGACATGGTCCCAAGCCTGTCCCCCTACATGAGGTTAGCGTGAGCTCAGAGGAGCCAATACATGACTAGCAGGTCCAGTGTGGAAAAGAGGACTGGCATGGGACAGGGACTCTGAGCCTGACCTCATGTCAGAACCCAAGAACTTGAGGACCTCAGAGAGGGTCTGGTGGGCAGGTGACGGGGTGAGGGGCCAGAAAGCACCTTCCAGAGGGAGCTCAGGGTTTGGGGAGCAGACTGAGGAGGAAGGTGCCTTGCAGAGCCCTCAGTGCCTCACTGAATCCTCCTGTGTCTGTCTGTGTCTGTTCCCCACAAGCGCCCTTCCTGGGAGGCCCTGGCAAGCCTCTATTTATATAGGACAACAGAAAGGAACTTTAGTATTTTGCAGTTAGTTTATTGAAATAAAGATGTATCTGAGGTTTCAACAAGTGTCTTGCAGTTTTCATTTAAAAGAACAAAAGAAGAAAGAAAAGTTTTGTTTCCTAATAATCAGCAATGATCATGGTCTGTGTGCCGTATCTGAGCCAAAGTTCTTGCGGGGTGTTAGTAATCTTTACACGACGGGCTGTCATAGATGGCTTCCTGGAAAACAAACACAGACAGGACAATGAGATTTTCAACTCTCCCTTGCAAAGGCAAATATGTAAGTCCAGAGACTGTTCTCCTTGTTGTTTTCCTGAGATTGTCCACAAACATCTCACTCCCAAGAAAATTAGCTCTGGAAGCAAAATGTGAATTATCTCCTCATTTATTCCTATTTTCAGGAGATATTTATTAATACCGAAGAGGTCCTGATATTTCTGGATACCTTCCACATGGGGCAACTGCTTTAATACTTTTTTTCTCCAAGTTTTCATTCTTTAAAATAATTTACCCAATTAAAATGCTGCATGTACAATTTGTTGAGGACACGCTAATTTGAAGTGTTTCTGATGCCACTTTGTTAACACAGAATTGTGAATATCTCAGCTCAAATATAAGCATGGGATGGTTTTGAGTTCCTTCACAATCTTAAGAGTTGGAAATATTGTAACACACTGAGGTTCTCCACCTTACCTTCATGAACTACAAAGTCTTGAGATGTCCACTAAAGAGAATTTGAGAGGGAAAAAATGCTCCCACCATCCCAAATTGCAGGTTATGTTCCCTTTTATCCTTAAATTTTGGGGGTGTATTTCTAAATTTTTTCTTCTTTGGATTGTTTCAAATGGAATATTGGGATATTATTAAGTAAATACTAGAAAATCTTGAGTAGCATGTGTATT